TTAGAATGCGGCCCGGCACACTTTAGAGGGACTGCACAGAGAGTTTGGCCGCGGATGGGATTGTGACGTCATGCCCCCGGCCGGTCGCGGACAGGTTTTGGGATGGGAGGACCGACCCCGGCGCGGCGGCCCGGGCCGCGGTCAAGTTCAAAGACAAAGTATGGGGCCTTGTGCGTCCGTCTCGCGAGCCTAGAGGGGGGGAACCTATAGCGGGGATGGCGGGCGAGGGGCGTTGGATTATTTGAAGAGGGTGCCTCTCGAGTTAGAATCTGACGTCATCTTCAGCCCGAAAAAATCGTTCACTATTTACCTGTGCGTTGACGTCTGCGACGGCCGCCAATGTGTACACACAGTAACTTGCGACGCTGTGTGTGTCGTTCCGGAGATTTGAAGTTTAAACTTTCTTTCTCTCCTGCTGTTTTAGTTTTTCTTCATCCTGCGGAAGAAGTTCAATAACGTGTCTACCCTGCACGTGATCCACCACGGCATCATGCCCTTCAGTGTCTGGTTCGGCGTCAAGTTCACCCCAGGTACGCGCACACTCACTCGTTGCGAGCGATGGTCACCTTGGATTGCTTGGGTTGAGCAGGCCTCCATAATTTTCCACTCCCCTCTCTCTCGTGTCCAGGCGGCCACAGCACCTTCTTCGGCCTCCTCAACACATTCGTCCACATCGTCATGTACACCTACTACTTGCTGGCTGCCTTCGGCCCTTCAATTCAAAAGTACCTCTGGTGGAAGAAATACATCACAGTCCTGCAGATGGTAAATCGTCATTGTTTTTACATGGGTTTTAATTTCTTTTGATTATTTATTTTAAGTGTCTTGTTTTTGTCAGATCCCCTCTTTATTATTTTTCATTTTACATTTTTATCATTTTACATTGTTTATCCTCTCTGCAGGCTCAGTTCGTGGCCATCATGGTCCACGCCTTCCAGCTGCTCTTCATTGACTGCAACTACCCCCGCGCCTTCGTCTGGTGGATCGGCATGCACGCTGTCATGTTCTGGTTCCTCTTCAAGGAGTTCTATGACCAGAGCTACAGAAAGCCCAAAGAGCTGGCCAAAGCTAAGGTGATGTGCCAGCTTTGCATTTCTATTATGTTTATGTTTTTTTATGTGGAGTCCTGATTTCATTGTTTTCTCTTCTGTCGTAGGCTGAGGCAGCCAAAGTCGCTGCTGCAGCAGCCGCTGCGGCCGCCGCCAACGGCGGCGACCACAAGACCACCAACGGCAGCCTAAAGAACGGAGCAGCCAACGGTGCGACGGGCAAGCAGCGTGCCGCCGACTACTACATCAACGGCGACCTGGCCAGCGACGTGCACTACAGGCACGCTGCCAACGGCGGCGCCAACGGCAAAGCAACCGCCAACGGCTCGGCGTGAACTTAGGGCCTGGGCCGGGCCGTCCTTGCCGTAATCTCCCCTCCCCCCCCCCTCCCCCAATACCCCAATTCCTTTCCCCTCTCATCTTAATTCAACGTATTTGCGCCACGACTTGAACTATTTGCTCATTTGTGACTGTGAGTGTTCTGGAAACTGTACAAGTGTATGTTTGTGAGTGTGTATGTGTGTGTGATTGCATGAGTGTATGTGTGAGTGAGTGTGTGAGAGAAGAAGAGAGAGAAAGAGTGATTTGAAAATGTGTGCACGTCAAATGTGTCAAGGCGTTTTAGAATATTTTGTTTCTTTGCTCATTATTGCTGTGGAGGGCAGTTACTTGTCCTTCTACAGGCTGAGTTATTTATTTAGTAGGATTGAAAAATATATGAAGAAGGCTGTAGATTGATTGTATGCTCAGTACCTCCAGAACAATATTTAAATCTGTTCAATGAAGTTGTATTCTGTTTTTGAGAGCAACATTGTTTTATGACTATAGTTTTGAATTTTCCTGTTTTGTTCTGTAGAGATCTTATAGGTACTAAAGATTTGGAATAACGTGAATTTTCTCTGTTTTGTAGATCTAACTGTGCAATGCATTTTCAATTAGTTGTATATAGTGTTAAATTACTGTAGTTAAGTTAAACCATGTCTGAGTCTCCATAAAATGTTTTAGTTCTGTTTTATCAGAAGAAAGTCTGTTTATCAGAGTGGTTAACTTTGTGTGTTTGTTGCTTGTTGTTAAGCCAGTCAGAATTGTGATGTTAGCTGTTGTCAGTTTTCATTTGCTTTTAGTTGAATTTTACATTTACCAGATATGGAGTTCCATGCATGGTCAATTTGTACGTAATACCGAATACACTGAGTTACGCTATGGCCTACGGGTACCTGTAATTCATATTCTTGCTGCCAAGCAGGATTTGGATGATGTGGATGAACTGCCCTCTAACAGTTTAATCATGCGAACTTTAGAGGACTCGCATTTAGGGTAGTGAGTTCATTGTGATATCTAACCGTTCTCTCAAACTACATTTCTGTTTCTGGATGATCACTATTATTTTGTTATCACATCAAATATCATTCCTATATGTGGCATCTGGTATTTTATTTATTTTTTGGTATAGCCAAATAAATTTATTGTTGTAGAATCTCTCTGCATCTGTCATTTTTAGAAATTACTATTGTTATTTGTTGGTAACATCTTCCTCAAAGGGAGGTGGCTTAAAGAATCTAGATTGAATAATTTTGTACTTAAAATCCATTTACATGGGATCAACTACAAATTTATTAATAAATGTTATTAAGCAAATGTTGTCATTTTTTATATTTGTCATATGAAGTGTTTTTAATAAATTGCCATCAGTCGTTATGTCACTTAAGTTGTTCGTTTTTATTCTATTATCCTACTAAAGAAATAATTTGAATGTTATTAAAAAAAGAACTGTTTGTTTTGGAATAAGTTGTTACAATGAATGTTCAGTTTATAGTGTATTTAAAAGGGTTTACTGTAGAGGAAGAATAAATTTTTACTATTCAAGTATAGGATCAAAGTTTTTGTCTTCCTTATCAGCCACAACAGCTCTAGATTTCCTACGGAGAGACCCTGAGACTAAGGGAAATTTTCAAAAACAACAGTATTAGATGCGACATTTGTCATGAAAACCTCTTGTTTTAGTGATCGGGACCCATGCATGATAAATTTTGACAGACAATGTTGAGTGAATTTTTTGGGTCTAATGTGTAAAGGTTCACGTATGCAAAGAGAAAATTTTGCATCTGAAAAAGTCCTGCAATCTAAAAGGGTCAAAATTAACAATTTTCAATAGGAGCTTCCCTGAACATAAGAATAATCAAATCAATGTAAGTGATAAAATATTTGACTTTTATTAAGTCTGAGTAAACACTACAACAACGCACCAAATATTTTCACAACATAAAATCTGAATGTCATTTAATATCATTACTTTAAAATGACAGCATGGCTTCAAAATCAAAACACGAAGGTGAATTCAAAAATACACTAGTAAAAATAAGCCTAAATCTAAATTGTGCACAGCCATTATTCTTTAAAATAATAAACAATTTACTTTTAAAAGTAAGAGTCTTCAGAAGACAAATGAAGTCACCTGCTTGTGCTCTGTAAGTCATGGTAACTTTAGCCAGTACTAGAAAATAAATCACAAATCACGCATTCCAGTAAAGAGGAATTCTTGCACCAGCCCCACTTAATCACTTCAGAAATAAATCATACAGCAGATAACAAAATTAATAACAAATGAGGTTGCAGAAATTATTTGTTTGTAAAGAGATCCATAACGTGTTAAATTTTTAATATTGGTCAATTCACAGGAACAATCCCCCATTACAAAAGGGTTCTAATCTTTGACTCCTTGACCGAGCAGCATGGCCAAGTGTGATATGTAAACAAGGTTCTGACAAAAAGAAAAATATATATAAAAAATAAAAGTAATTGACAGATTAAGAACAGTTTGTCACATAAGAAATAAAGAAAACACTCCAAAATTTTTCAAATGTCAATTTGATGTCACTGTACCCATTTGTACAACCTATAATTTTACCTCAGTTATTGGTTGTGGAAGTAGGTTTTACAGTTGGCATAGTATTTAACTTATTGGAGGTTTACATTGAAAACAAGAGTTCATAGTACAAGGATCAAATCTCTCCGTTTGAATAGTGGAGAAAGCAATACCAAATTTAGTCTGGAGAATATGCCTCGCTTTGGAAGTAATAACATCACGGTCGGTGGATGAATCTACAGAGCAATAAAAATGACAGTGCTATTATATGGGATCATTTTGAAGTGAAATGAGAAAATGTTTGTTCAATAAAACTTACCAACAGCCAAGTGAACTGCCAAAGCATGTTTTCCTGCAGTTAAAGACCACACATGCAGGCTATGAACATGTCGAACACCAGGTATATCTTTCAGAACTGTTAGTACTTGACTGTAACTAATTGTTTGTGGAAAACCTTCAAGTAGAATAAAGCCTGCATCTTTTAGAAGAGGCACTGTTGTTCCAAGTACAACTACAGCAAACAAAAATGTACAAATGGGATCTGCAATTTTTGCAGCAGGCTGGAAGGATAAAGAAGTCTTGAGTTAGTGCTTAAAATCATAAAGTTAATCAAAATAACAAGCATTGAAGGTCGTACTTACATTGAATTTAATGACAACAGCAGCAATAAAAACACCAATGCTCTGAATGAGATCTCCAAGAACATGTATAGCAGCTGCTCGAACATTAATATTTGTGCGTTTACTGTGAATATGATTTACCTCAAGCTGCTCTTCTGAGTGATTCTATAAAATTATATCAAAAGTAATTGGTTAATTTAATTTTGATACTTTTCATTGCACTTGTAGTCACTTAAATCTCATACGTAAACTAACCATATTCGTGCGGTGCAAACATGGTGATATCTGATTAAGATCACTTCCAACATGATTGTTCGTAAAACCATGGGAGTGACCCTGGTGACCAAAACCATGAGAATGATGGCCACCAATTTGCTGACAGCCACCATGAAGAACAACCCCCATGCTGGAAAAAAAAAATCAAAATAATAACTACAATAGAGGTAAGTTAGAATAGAAAAATAAAATTTCTTCTTCTTACATGATATTTATAACAATACCCCCAGCAGCCACTGCCATCATGCGATCCGGTCTTATGTCAATAACATCATTAACCAGCCTTAAAATAGCAATGTAAACAAATATACCAGTTAAAATCCATATGACAAAAATGCTAAAGAGTGCTCCAAGCACTTCTGTAGGATAAAATAAAATCAGAAAATATTAGTAGACACTAAGGAGAGTAAAAAACTACCACTCACAGAGACAATACAAACCTGCTCTATGAAAACCAAATGTTAGATTTTTTGTTGAAGGTCGCTGACCCAGCCAAATAGCTAAGAGACTAACTAATAGGCCAACTAAATCTGATAGCAAATGAGCAGCATCAGTCATAATGGCAACACTTCCTGCAAAATGTCCTCCTAAAATTTCTGCTATCTGTTGATAAATACAATTAAAAGAGTACATAAACATCATTTCAAAAATTGCAAGAGATAGATTAAACCAATAAAACCAACCATAAAGAAAAGGCACAAGACAGTAGCGGATAGCAGACGTCTCCAAGCCAAATTGTTGGTGGACTCATCAGAATGTGGATGACAATGGTCTATGTCCTCAACAAACCCAGCTGGAAGCCAACTCTCCTAGTAAACAAACAAATACAGCAATTAAGAAGTGCAGTTTGTTTCACACTGACCTTGACACAAAGCACTTTGTTGGGTTGATAGACAATCTAACAATTAGATACTTACAGTAGAGAGCAAAGGCACTTCTGACTCCTCCCCAGTTAGTGATAGTCGAAGAGGCATAGAACTATTGGTTCTATAAGGTAAGTTTTCTTCAGTAATTATCTGCTTAGATGCAAGGCCATTACGTGGTTCTCTGAACCATTCCCCTCTGAACTCTACATCACTAGAATGACCATCAAAATTGCTAGAGTTGAAATTGACTTGAAAGGTTGGGGGTTCTATGTCACTATCATTCCAAATTCCTCCGACATTACTTTCATCAAGAATTAAGCTATCATCACTTGAACGACTCCCTAACCTAACGTCAAGGGAATCTGGGAAGTTTGGATTTAAGTGAGACATGTTAAGACATTTATCACAGAACTTAAATAAAGTGGTAGTGTTGTGCACAAAAGACTAAGGACTAGAGTTTTTAATTTTTGTGGAAGATACACAGCTGCAACCAATCTATCCAAAATTAATCCCACTCCCTTTTATAAACATTTCAAAAAACTAGAAGTTTTAAACAATATTGTCACAGAGGGAATACAAGACTAGAAATAAATCCTGACATCCAGAACAAGGAGGGAATACAAATACAACGAGTGTCACTGGCAATTAATTTGTTTGATTTGGAATCAAATTAACACAAAATACTATTCTGTCAATGAGCTGTCTGCCACAAGACAATAACAAAGTCAATAAACACATGACGATATGCAAATGAGGTGTTTCGCGAGATTCACTCTATGAGAAATTCGACGACCGGAACTTCATAACGATGATTTGAAAAAAAACTCAGTCGATTTTGATGTTTGAAATTTGTGGTAAGATCTTCTTCCCAAAACAGATCTTCCCTTGGCCAGCCTATATGCCGCATAGTTTGCTTTTCATAATATTTTAAGAAAAGACTGGTTTCAAAGCGCAGGTTGGTAACAGTTATCACAAGATACTCTCGATTCACCTTTGATTTCGATATCTCTCCCCCCTCTCCCCCTCCCTCCCCCACCCCCTCATCGTCAAAATAATTTCCCCCTTACTTCACCACTGAGGGAGGACTAAGTTTGAGTTTCAGTTGGTTGAATCAACCTTTATTTTCTGGGTGAGTATTTCATGAATAGCCCCAAAAAGAAGTGGTATTTACTCATGTAAAAGGTTCTAATCTTCAGGTCGTGTAGGTATTCGCCGTGATACGCAGGAAACGGGGATTAGCATAGGCTGAACATATTGTAGTTGTGTTGATGGTGGGAGACAAGGCCTTCAATCCCTTGAGAAACAAAAGGGCCATTGTATTGTGTGGTGTAATGACTTCATAAGATTTTGCAGTCCTCTGGTAATTATGAGCCAAATGTAACTTGTGACAGTGTGCAACTGCGCACTTAGGAAAAGACTGAAAGCAGTAGATCCTCTAGTTGTCCTATGGTCGAGTTTCTCAAATCCAGATCCCTCCCTTAAAAGGAACTATCTGTATTGCTCTTTTACACCTGACAAATACTATAGAATATGTTCGTTTCGCACTGACTTTTTGTGTATTCTGGAAGCGTAAATCTTTAGTACTCTTTATTGTAGCAGAACTTGTTTGCCCAGTGCTTGTTACATTGCAGGTCGAGGTTGATTTCACTTCCCGATCTTGCACGGGAAGTGGTAATTGTAAGTTCATAATTCAATTTGTCAGTTTCGTATGTATACGACCTTAAAGATATTTTATCTGGGTAGTATTTTCTTATTTCCTCGTCCCAAACTTTAATTACCATATCACACATGTCATAACTTTAAAATCGTACATAACCTATACTTGTGGTTCAGGAAACAATGATGACATACATCTTCTCTAGATGCACCTGTTTACATAATTATTCTTACTGTGGCCCAACTTGATTTTCTTGTGACGTCGTTTTTCTTTTCCTTATTTGTTTAAAATTTCTATTGCTTTTTTGTTTTTTACTTTAGATTGAAATTTCATAATCTACATTATATTAAATTACCAATTTATGTTACCTAACAGTTGATTTGTTTTTGTAGAATGTAGCGATCTTTAATTTTTTATTTTTTTTGTGGGATTGAGTTTTACAATGTATTATATTATTTCGCCCTTTTTTTTTGGCTGTCCTTTTATGATAACCAACAATGGATTTGACTCCTTGGTGAATCAATGATTTATTTATTTTTTGTTACAGGTAGCAAAGAAAATCAGATTTTCATAATGGCACGCCCAGCTGCTGGTGCCAGCAATCCGGGGCTCAAACAGATAGATCTTGATCAGATCTGGGGTGACCTCAGGGATGGAATTCAAGAAGTATATAATCGGCAAGGAATGCCCAAGACACGTTATATGGCATTATATACGTATCCTTTACATATTGTAATAATTTAACTAATTTAATTCATTCAAAACAACCTCATTGTGCATGGAATCCATTGGTTGATGTTACTTGTCCATCCATTCGAGTACTTTTTCTTAACCACCAACTTTAGTCATGTGTACAATTATTGCACGAGTGTGCATCAAAATCAGACACGCACCTATAATTCAAAGCCTAAAACAAAATCAGGTGTGGGATCGGGAGGTGCTCAACTTGTGGGACTTGAACTTTATGTGAAACTTAAAGGATTTTTGAAGACTTATCTTGTCAATCTTCTGAAGGTGAGTGTCTTCCTTGTTTGTCTTGGTCAAGATCTATGTGACCTATTTATATGACCTATATGATTATAATCTATATGATTTATATGACCTAATGTCTCTTGTTATTTGTTTTGCTTTTCTGTTAACGGTTGGTCTGTTACCTCTACAAGTAAATTTTTGGCTTGCAGGAAGGAAAGGATTTGATGGATGAAGATGTCTTGCAATTCTACACGAAGCAGTGGGAGGAATACCAATTTAGCTCTCGTGTTCTGAACGGTGTTTGTGCTTACTTAAACAGGTTTGCAGTTTTATACAAATTTCAGACCTATTATTATACAAGAACTTAGGTAACTAGATATTTATTTTACTTGACAGGCATTGGGTAAGGAGAGAGTGTGATGAAGGAGGCAAAGGAATTTATGAAATATATCAACTGGCTTTGGTGACTTGGCGAGACAACTTATTCCAACAATTGAATAAGCAGGTAAGTGTTTTCAAATTGTTCTTTTCAGTTAACATTGTTAGAAACATTATTATCACCTATGAACTGTCTTCAGGTAACAAATGCAGTATTGAAACTGATAGAAAGAGAACGCAATGGTGAGACAATAAATACCAGACTTGTGAGTGGTGTCATTAACTGCTACGTTGAACTGGGTGAGTTTTGATCAACTAAATATCTTAAATTTGAAGAAGTTCACAATTTCCTTTAAAATCTCAGATTTCAAGTAAATTTACATTCTTTTGCTCTCTATTTCTTCAGGCTTACATGAGAATGAGCCTGGTGCCAAAGGACCAAATCTTTCTGTATACAAAGAGTCCTTTGAAAATGTCTTCTTAGAAGACACGGAAAGATATTACACAAGAGAAAGCACAGATTTTCTGCAACAGAACCCAGTGACAGAATATATGAAGAAGGTAACTAGAACACTTCCCTTTTTTGAACGAATATATGTCAGAATGTGTGACTTTTTTCACTTGTTCTTTTTTATTCTATTTATAGGCAGAGCAGAGATTACTTGAAGAACAGAAACGTGTGCAAGTGTATCTTCATGCCACGACCCATGATAGGCTTTCCAAAACATGCGAGAGAGTGCTCATAGAGAGACACCTAGAAATCTTCCACCAAGAATTCCAAACTTTACTTGATTCTGATAAAGAAAATGATCTTGGTCGTATGTTCAATCTGGTTGCTAGAATTCCTGATGGTTTGGGTGAACTGCGTCATTTGCTTGAAGCTCACATTGCTCATCAAGGTCTCTCAGCAATAGATACATGTGGTGATGCTGAGGGCAATGTATGTGAAAATTCATATCTATTTAATTTTTTACCCATGAGTTTTAGCCTCAAAGTCTAAAAACAGTACCCCTTTGAAATATTTGAATTGCTTTCAGGATCCTAAAATCTATGTCAACACGATTCTTGAGGTGCACAAAAAATACAATGCCTTGGTGCTTACTGCTTTCAACAATGAAGCTGGTTTCGTTGCTGCTCTTGATAAAGCCTGCGGCCGATTCATAAATAATAATGCTGTGACAAAATGTGCAAACACATCAAGTAAAAGTCCTGAGCTACTTGCCAAGTACTGTGATCTGCTTCTGAAGAAGTCAAGCAAAAATCCCGAAGAAGCTGAACTCGAGGACACCTTAAACCAAGTTGTATGTAGAATACTTGAATATCAACTTGTTTCTCAGTTGTTTTTACCGCAATGTCTTTTTTATCTATCCAAAATATGTAATTGGTGATATTTTTGTACTTTGCAGATGGTAGTTTTCAAGTACATTGAAGATAAGGATGTGTTCCAAAAGTTCTACAGTAAGATGTTAGCCAAAAGATTGGTTCAGCACATGTCTGCTAGTGATGATGCTGAAGCATCAATGATCTCAAAACTGAAGCAAGCATGTGGATTTGAATACACATCAAAGTTACAAAGAATGTTCCAGGTCGGTTGATTTAAACAATCTAATAATCTAATCTACTAATATAGGCAATATCAATTTTCTCTACATTGTTATGTGTTTTTGATTTATTTCAGGATGTTGGTGTTTCAAAAGACTTAAATGAGGCTTTCCGAAGACACCTGGTTAAAGTCAATGAACCCCTGGATATTGATTTCAGTATTCAAGTTTTGTCATCAGGCTCATGGCCATTCCAACAGTCTACTAGTTTCTCTCTTCCTACTGAGGTCTGACTATTGGGAATCAATAACTGAAATGTCCAAAGACTGCATGTTTTACTGTCGATGTCCGGTCATAGATGGACCAGTCCAGGATAGGATAGTCCGGGTCTTTTCGGCCGATGTTTACTACAACCAGTTTTGACTAATACATGGCCGGGCAATGTTAGGAACGGTCAACATGGCCCGACGTTGGGCAATGACCCGAAGGGTGGGAGAAGGGAATGCGGGTGGGGTTGCATGGGGGATTTATTGTACCTCAACACTTGTTTATTTTAGGTAGTATTTTTAGTGGCACTAACTTATTTTTTTCTCTCTTGTTTAGCTTGAAAGGAGTATTCACAGGTTCACAAATTTCTATGGTTCTCAGCATAGTGGTCGCAAGCTTAATTGGCTGTATAATATGTCCAAGGGAGAGTTAGTTGCCAATTGTTTCAAAAACAGGTAATACTTTAACTTTTTCCAACACTCTCCAGTAATCAGGCATTTGGAACATTCTGCTTGTTTTATATGCTATATTGTATGAGACTTACACAATTTTCGATCATCAGATATACCTTGCAAGCCTCAACATTCCAAATGGCCGTACTACTGCAGTATAATGGAGGCTTGTCTTGGTCGCTCCAGCAGCTTCAGGAACTCACTCAGTTGAAGGCTGAGTTTACTTTGCAAGTTGTTCAAATACTTCTGAAAGCTAAGCTGTTGCAGTCAAGTGATGATGAGACTAACCTTCAACCCAGTTCATTAATTGAACTGAATACTCAGTACAGAAAGTAAGAAATCTTTCATAAAATTGTTTTTGTGTTCTTGTTTATTTGCTCAGCAACGTTAACTAATATTTTATTTGAAATTTCAGCAAAAAACTGAAAGTTAACATCAATATTCCTATTAAGGCTGAACTGAAAGTGGAGCTAGAAACAACTCATAAACACATTGAAGAGGACCGCAAACTACTTATTCAAGCTGCTATTGTCAGAATTATGAAAATGCGGAAGATGTTAAAACACCAACAGCTTGTGGCTGAAGTACTCAACCAGCTATCAACCCGGTTTAAGCCTCGCGTCCACGTTATAAAGGTAGTGCAGCTTGTCTCTTAAACTAGTCTAATCTTTGGTTTTAAACAACCTTCTAAATTTTACTTTCATTTTTCTTTTTTTCAGAAATGTATTGACATTTTAATAGAAAAGGAATACCTGGAACGCACTGAGGGCCAGAAGGACACTTACAGCTATTTAGCATAAGTAATTGCTTTATGAAGGACTATTAGGCTGTATTAGCCTTGGTGTGTGTGATCTGACCTTTGAATATTATGTCGTGTGATAAGTTTTATCATTATTTCTGTGACACACAGTGCATTATTCAATGGGCAATTGTTTATTCCTGTGTTTGTGATTTCTCTCTGTTTGGAAAAATACAACCCCATGTTTACTTATGAACCTACGTTTTCAATCAGCCATCCACATATAGAGTGGTATACAGGGCGTCAAGAAGTAGTTGTCAGGGTAGAACAAATGGCATATCTAGTGGGTTAGGTGCAGGCTTACGACCATCAGGTACTTAAGTCAACAAAACAGTTCAGCTGCTGCCAGTTGGCAGCCACATAGTAGCAAGAACTACTTGCACTGTTTTGTTAAATTTATAACATCTCCTAAGGTCTATTGAAAGTTGTGTCTTGTATGGTTTGTGCCTCAAATATGGTTGTACATTAAGCCCACCAGGTACATCATCCCTTCTACTCTTGCCCCCACTTCCTGATACTCTGTATCATGATAAAAGTCTTGAGGTTTAGTCAACTTCGCTGTTCATACGAGTGCATCCTCACTCAACCAACCCTAATGTAAATATTAGTGCATAACTTTGTTTTAAGGTAGAAAATTAATTGTTGATTTACTATATTATGTTACTTTGTTTACCTTGAGAATATATAGCTGTATTGTATTTCATGAAATTTTAGGCTGTATTTTGTGTAGTACATTTTAAGTAGAAGTTTATTCCCGGATGAGATTGACCCGGTTTTCAACGCAAATCTCTTTGTAAAAAGTTAAAGAAAGAATTTTTAAAACATACAGTGTGTTTAGTTATCAAAATTTTTTGTCAGCAGCGTTATATTTCTCCTACTTATGGGTGGTTGTGATGAATCTGATGAATCATAATAATCAATAACCTTATTTCTGCCCAGTTTCATTTCTGTTTGTGATGCTATTTTCATGTAAATTGCAAAGTGGTAAGAAGAAAAATCTACTTTTTTGTAAAATTTTGTGTACTTGTTATGAAGGATGGAGTTCTCAAGATTTAGTGATAATACTTTGTCCTTTTTTTTATATTTTGTTTCTGACTTTATTTGTAAGTGCAGGGAAAGGAAGGCAATATTTTGTTGCTATGTTGTCAGGCTGTAGAATTGCAACATTTATCATAATTACCATGCACAATGCTTCCTTTGACATCAGCTGAGTGTATATATTGCCCTTCATAGATATTTAGTTATTTTTCAACTTCATGAGGCCTACCTGTCACATTGTTGTACTTGTAACTTTGTTTAAATCATCCTTTCTGCCTTATGAGTTTATCCATATTATCCATGGTCAGAGACGAACACTTTTTTGGTCATGTTTTAATACCCCTAATGGCTTTTATTGATCTACCTTACTATCAAGGTGTTTTTTTTCCCTTCTACTTCTTGTTTTCTTTTTCTTTTTTTGTACTAATGTCAACTTAAATGCCAAGTTTTTGATCAACTTAGACTTGTTTTCAAAATGAGAAACACATTTGTTCTAAGATTTACTGTTGTGACGTTTAGGACTGCATGTGTGTTGTCATTGCATAAAATCTTCACAATGTGCGTTTTGTATGTCCTCCAGACTACTTATGCTGTTGTACTTGTAAAATCTCAGGCCAGTGAGTAATATAATTTTAGAGTTCTCTTATTTTGTTCTGACTTTCAAACTTATGGTGATGAACCAGACTGTTCTGAGAAATGACAGACAACCATAAATTTACCAAAAATTCCTGTTGCCTTTGTCTTTGGCTTTTGCTCAATATCACATTGGTGGTGTTTTGAGCAATTATTTTTAGTACATTTGGTCACAGGGATAACTGATAATATTAAAAATGCCACAACCAATAATTGTGATATGCTATTTATTGAACGCAACCTGCGAAATTGCTTAACACTGGATCTCATTGATCGTACTGCCTTGGAAACTTAAGCAATTTTGCCAAACAGACTAGACAAACAGCTAAAAATGAGCAAGTAACATGGCTACATCTATATTTTTGTGATCACCTTTGTAGAAAACCAACAACTAGATTTATTGTAGAAAAATACTAATAACATAAAGAACATAAAAATCTACAATGTGAATGATCACAGATGTGTGAAAGTGAACATTCATAACATTGTAGACCAACCATTAACAAATACAATTACAGTATGTATAAGAATGATAAAACACTGATTCGAGGCAATGAGAATAATCTTAAAATAGAGGGAGAAACAACAATCATTTTAATAACATCTATATCACATACACAGAAGTTGCTGCTCTGAGGCAAATGCTACAGAAAAATTTAAGGGCTAGCTTTATTACTAAAAAAGATAGGCAAGAATGCCTCATGAACATAGCATAACTTCTAAAATACCTTTGATGACTCCTTATCGCCCTTATCACAAACTGCTGAGTCAGTTGATCCCTGACTCTGCTGGATCGGTTCCCACCCCTTTTAGTGGCACATTGAGAAGGTTGGTCTGTGAGCAGTCAGTTCATGCATGGGCAGAAATAAATTATTTCTTTCTTTTTGCCAATTGCTGGCAATATTTCCCCAGCAAACTTACTTTAGCTAACTACTGTACATAAGTAGGGCTGAAGTTTCCTGAATTTTTCAAATGCTCTATGTAGGGTGTTATTTTACTTTTGCAATACACTGATTGATTTACGTTATGTGGTACGACATCCATCCTTTGATAACAAAGGAAATATCATGCAAATTCTGATTATTACATGGCACGGACTAAGTACTCAAGCACATACCAATTATGTAACTGCCTCATAGCTGTCAATTGTTTATTCTTTTTAAAAAAAGTTTTCATTCTTTAGTTTAAAATTTTCCTAGCAGGAGAAAACAAAAACATTGACTAGGAATATGCATACTATGGGTTAATTATTTAACTGCATACAAAATTTTAAGATACACTTGTATGTGACAATTGAAGCAGTAAATATGACCACTTTTATAAATGCTTTGTTGCTGAAATACAGTTTAAATGAATCCACCACGTCATTGAGCATGGATAAACACAGGGCCTTCAACATCTAATAATAAGAAATATTATAGTTCATATGCTATTATATGCAGTACTTATCAGTCACTACGAATGGCACTTTCTCTTTCAACAACCTGTTCAAAATGCTGAAATACAAACCATGCTTGAGCACTCTCAACGCTAATAGGTTCAACAAATGTGTTTTTGGTGGATGTAAGAAAGACTCTTGACACATCATCTAATTACATAATTTAGAGTTAATAAATAATCAACAATTAAAATTCTAGAACAACAAATCATTTAAAACAATATTTCATATATAACATGAGCGATACAAGGTCACACAAATAGTTTTGCCCCTTGTACATCATACTACCATTTGCTGGATACTGGGAAATTCAATCAGTGCAAATATTATTCCACCAAATGCTTGTTCAAATTTTAATTTTAATGTCATTAGGACATTATATTTTTGTACAATGATTTATCATTTCTGAACACAGCCTTTACTTCACATTAATCAGCACAACATGGGGAGTGTCCCATTCTGATCAGCGATTTGAATCGCTTATCACAAACAACATCATGAAAGTGCAAGTGCATGAATGACTGAAAGCTTATAGTGCCATCATTCAGGTTGCAAAATAATGTCCGTTAAATGTAAGACTAAATTGGAGAAACTTTTTGAGAGAATCTCTATCACATAAACATAATTCCTATCAGAGGAACGGCTGGCTTTCTAGCTGTTCTTGACTTCCTCTTGGGCTAAGGACGGTGGTCTAGTTTGCTGCTTCTCATCTCGGTAAGGTGAATGATGGTGAACCACTACATCTGCTTGCTGTGTTCGATCATCTTCGTTACTGACTATAAGCAAAGTTAAGGCCTCTAGAGATTTCCGAACCTAAAACATAAACAATAATCATTTGAAATAGTTACACAAAATGCCATAGAAATTATTGTAAATTTTAGCTTCACTGTATTTTTTTTTAACAATAATCCTCACCTTTGCTAATTGGTCTAAATGTGTGCTAAGGAATTCTTCAACTTGACCGGCAGATCTCGCATGGAGATGGTTTTGCCAGCGGGCTAAGTCTTGATACAAATTATCCCTGCTCGAGTAGGAGACAACAAAACAGTAAGCATTTTTTGCATTGTCATATTTGAGAAGTGCTGCATGTAGGGAAGCCCCATTAGGCGACGTTACCCTGTTTGTATCCTGAACTGATCCTGGATGCGGGACATGCGGTGGAACAGGAAGGCTGTGGACATCAGCAGGAAGGCGACGAGGGCCGTGGACACGCCCAGGATGATGGTCTGGCGGCTCGAGCGGTTCAAGTCCGCCTGCGAGACCAGGCTCGGCCCGGCGCTTAGGCCCACTCCGGCGGGGTGCGCGCTGCTCGCGATGGCCAGCGCCGAGCTGGTGCTGGCGGCCACCGCGCTCGCCTTGGTCGCTGAGGAGGAAAAGCACATCGTTAGCCCGGACTTCGTTCCATCTGCAACCCAATGGCCAGCCCAAGGCTCGCACTGATAAACTTACCTGCGACAACGGGAATCTTGTCAAGGGGGACTGGAGGAAGGGCTGCGTCTCCGGACAGGCTGGAGTCGTCGTCCTCCTGGAGCACGTCCCCGCTGGCGCTCGCCGAGTCCACCTCGTCCTTCAGGTCCTGCAACGGGAGGGAGGGCGGTCGTGAGCGAGGTGGTCAAGGGAAGCGGGAGCGCTCGGTGTGGTTGCCAAGGCGGGATTCGAACCCGCGATAAACCGGTTACCGCAATCCTCGCACAGGCATCATAAATTCCACTTATTCGCCTTCCCTCTCTGAATCCGAGAGGGACCGCCAAAGCTGGCCAAAAACCTTGCGGCGGGTGCAGCTGCGACCAGCCCTGGCTCAGCCCTTTCCCCACCTCCCCCCTCCCTCGTTCTGGCCCCCGCTGGCGAGCGGAGCGCGGAGCGGTCGACCGCGAGCACTCGGATTTGAGATGCTTGGGCAAGGCCGTCCGGTCCGCCCACATGTCAGTGTCACTCCGTATCTTTGGTTCGGCCGTGCCAAACCAAAGATTGCCAATCTAGCTACAGGCTTTGCTACCTCCCTCCCCTCCCACCCTCTCATCAGACCGGTAGCGGAAGTTAAGCTTTAATCATTGCAGGCGAGAGACACCACCGTCTAGCACAAATTAATTATCGCACTGCATTTCTGAGCGGGTAACAGCAGCCGTCACCGCACGTCGTCCTCGCGAACCGCACAAAATGTGGACCACGCCCACCCCGCCTCACCTTCCTCGCCCCGCCCCGCTACGTCCTTGTCCCACCGCGGATGCGTGTCGGCGTGGGCGCGAAAGAAGCAGACGACATACGACAAGGCAGTGGGGGCACCCAGGTGCCAGCCTGGTGCCACCAATGGGCCCACCCACCCCGGTGCCACCCTGGTGCCGCCTCTGCCACGGCTATGCCACCAGCAGCGGCCGCGCCGCGCCACCCCGCCCGACGCGACCCAAACACAGCCGGTGCCAAGAACGTGCCACGCTTAGCCGGGACGCGACGGGGTTTGAAACACGGAACGGGGGACAGAAATACCCCACCGTGTAGCCCGCCCTGTACCCCTCCATGCACCCTACGCGCCCCGCGCATCGCGCTGCATTTGAATGACTCCCATGATGATTATTAGTCTGCTCGAGGGAACGTGGGAGTAGGGGGGGTGGAGGACAATCGGGACAGTTTGGCGCCACCCCGCCGGCACCGAGCTGAACAAGAGGGGGTCGGGGAGGGGCGTCAGTCGGTGTGCGAATAATCCACACAGCAGGACCCACAGTCACGAGTAATAACGATCTTGTAAGCCGGGCGCGAAAATGTCAAGGAAAGTACACCACCACGAGGATTCACGCGTTACGTTACAACTCAACACACGGGTTCGGGTTCGTTACCTTGGCGCGAGGTCGGCAGGGGGCGCAGACCGCGCGCAGGGGCTGCGGCGAGTGCGCGGGCGGGCCGAGCGCCGTCTTCCACACCTGCACCATGAGCTTGTACGTGTTGTCGCGCGAGAGCAGCGACCCGAACACGTGCTTCTCGTCGGACGTGGCGACGCCGACGGCGTTGGGGATGATGCGCGCCGTCTTCTCCTTGGACACCTTGAGCACGGAGGCGGTGGGGATGAGCACCTGGAAAAAGGACGGACTGAGGTTGGCACGTTGGTAAGATAGGTTTGTTTGTTTCTCTAAGCCTAAGACACACACCGTAATGTTTTTCATTTTTTTTTACGGATGCGAGACCGAGACGACGTGTTAGTGACGTCAAGAGAGTTCTTGCAGTTCTAGTCGCTTCGCTCGCTGCCTTATAAATCAAGACCAGCTCGTGTGAGGCAAGGTTTGAACAGCCCCCCCCCCCCTGCTTAATGGATCGAGGAGTTGACGGATGTTTCATGACATGTGTGTGTTTTCCCGCTCTTTTCGCCACACATCACGTGGTTTTGATCTTCACCGGGCTCTATAGTAATTTCTCCTTTCAGAAAAGTTCCGCTCATCGTGCTGCTCAATTAAGCAAGCACCCTGCCAGACGGCCGGGTCGTACCGAAGCGAAAGTGCATCGTATGAATAATTATACTGATCGCAAAACTCTAGGGAATCCCGCTCAAAAGCTAGCTCCCGCCGCCGTCCCTCGCCATGCCACTCACACTCACCTTGGTGACGTAGCCGAATACATTGGAGTAGAAGGCGAAGTAGTTGCTAGTAATGTAGAGGTGGCCCTGCAGCAGGATGTCGCTGATGAGGGCGCAGGAGTAATCTGAACAGGTAAGACAGACGGGCACCCGTGTGAGCGGAGCGGAGCTCGGCAGTTTGAGGCTGGTTACCGGCGGCAGTTACCTCACAGCAGCGCTCGCACAGCCACATGGCGGCGGAAGGCAGACTACTTACAGTTGAGCACCCGCTCGTCGGGCGAGACGCTGTCGAAGTGGCGGTGGAACTTCTTGTGCCGCGCCTTGGAGGTGGCCGGCGAGGGCAGCGGGACTAGCGACGGCGTGGACGAGGAGGGCGCCACGGTAGGCGCGCCCAGGGGTCTCCGTCTGCATCAGGACAGAGAGAAGACAAGCGAGCGATGAGTCCAGAGCGGGAGTGGTCGCTAATGATGTCCTCGGCTGGGCTGCGTCCGCGTCGCGCTGCTCAGCACACAGCACACACACTTTGAGGTCAAAACCAAGTCAAAGTCTTTCATCTAAAACGTGTCATTTCGACGTCAATATGACGTCGTGATGGACTTTCGATACGCCTTGATGCTGAGTGACCCTTCCCCCCTAGCGCGGCGATGGCGCCACGCAGCTGATGGTGCTCGCCCCCCCGGAAATCGTTAAGCTCGCCGTATCGTCTGCATCAGGACGGCTGCACTCGTCAATCGGCTCTCTATTGGGTCATTGTGCGGAGCCTCGACCGACCAGGGCATCACACCAGTTACAGCAGTCTCTGTATTTTCGCTGTGATAGCGGCTCATCGTTGGTGCGCTGTGCATGCGGGGCGCCCCCCGGGAAGAGGGGGGGGGGAGGGTTGCGTGCTGCGAGGCGCCGGCCACGCCCAGCAGCACTGGAGTGTACACAGCCCGTCCGACTATTTTTACATCATTTATTTTACCGGGCCGTGGTGGGTTGGGCGCAAAAGGAAAGACACACACCCGCACAAAAACGTAGTTGGACGGGCACCCCGAAAACGACCCGCGCACTCACCGAGCTGCCCGCCCGACCGAGCGTCTGTGCATAGGCAGACCCGCCTAGCACGCCAGCAGCTGCACTGTCCCGCCGCACGGGCGTGCGCGGCGGGTCTGCCTACGCACAGGCGCTCCAGCCGCCAGGCAGGTGGGCACGCCCGCCGTGCACGCCCGTACTGCGGGTCTGCCCATGCACAGGCGCTCCGGCCGCCCGGCAGGTGGGCACGCCCGCCGTGCACGCCCGTG